TGAGTGCAGGTCATTTTTAGGTATCATGTTTTAAAAAAGTGTCTATAGATTTTTTAAAGCAACATTAACATACATGGACCACCAAGACTTTTGCTGGCAGAAATCTATTTGCCTTGGATTGATGTGCTTAAGATTTCTTCAGAGGCTTCCAATTGGCCTTCATTTTTTTGAGCTGAGAACTAGCCAGCTCAGCTCAAATCCCTCAGCTTCGTCCTGCTGTTCTGGTCATCCCTTCTTTCCACAGATTTCACCACCTGCTGAATCAAGTCCGAGGGGTTCTTGGTCATTTCAAGACTTGACCATCGATCCCTATCATCAACTCTTCCATACCCAGATAAAAAGAACGACAACAAAGAAAACAATGAACACAAGACAATTAACCGTTAACCCCCAAGAAAAAGGACAAGGAGAAGACACATCTTCTTGGTTCTTGAGCCTTTGGAATCGCCAAAGAGTTCTGTCTTACCCCCAAAAGCGTGTTCTTTTTTCTTTTCTCCCGCCCTCACCGAAGCAAGCCGCGTCCGCTTTGGGGGGAAGGCATTCCGCACGCCGACGCCGCACCTCTCCGACGCCGAGCCCCCGAGGCCGGAGATGACGCCGAGCCTGGCACGCATGGTCCGACGGCTCAGCAGTTGCATGGAGGTTGGGTGCCCTCAATTCGGCAGTGAACAAACACCCAGGGAGAGGGCAGTTCTGAAAGGCTTTAAACAACGATTGGTCCTTAAACAGCGAATATCAGCAAATGATTTAGGCCCAAAAAAGCATCCAAATCGTTTGTTTTTCTGGCCTCGCGAACCTCTATCGTTAAACCTTTCAGGACCTGGAGAAGCTGGTATGGTTGGTGGTCGGGAACATCCGGATGAGTGACCGACAAGTTCTACACGGAAATGTTCGGCACATGGAAATTGGCTTAAGCCTTAGGAAGCCTTCGTTCGATGAAGCAGTATAGGTCCCATTCCGCAGGCATATTGAATTCCTGCCAGACAAGGGAGACTCTCTTCTTACAGGGTAGATGGTCAACATGTCCAAGATAAAATGCACCTGATCCAGAATTGTGTGGCGGTGACTCTTGATGCCAAGAGCAGTCCACGTTGTTGGACCAGGTCCACTGAATGCAGCTGAAAGGAGAAAAACGGCGAAACCTCGCAGCGCGCGTGAAAAAAGGTGTGTTTTTCGTTGAGAAGCCAATTAAGATACAATTTGCTTTCAACCGAATCCAGCCACCGAATCGCACCGAATCGCACCTTAGCACGGCACGGATTGGGCGACCAGAGACGTTTTTTTTCCACCGGCGCGCACGGGAGAAGAACTGCAGTCGCTGGCGGTCGCATCCGGCGGTTTGAAACGCTGCACGGGAATGGTTTGAAACGCTGTCAGATGCCCAGGTGCTGAGAATACAAAAATAAGTAGATGTCGCTATAGAGAAAGCGTCATAATGGAGTACAGAGAGAGAGAGAGAGAGAGAAAAAAAAATAGAACAAGTATAGAGGCTTTCTAGGTCAAAGTGCAGAAAAGTACTCGTAGAGGTTTGTAGGTGTGTTTTATTTTTGAGAAGAGAAGGAAAGTAATGAGAGATTTCTAGTGCACAGATCGTCATATTATATTTGTTTACCCTAGGCACTCAAGTGCAATTCAACACTTTAGTTCTGTTTACACCACATATCAGCACACTTTGTTCAGTCACTTACCAGTAACAAAAAATGTTTGTGTATATTGAACATATTTTTAGTAACTTAACGATATCATTACTTGTATGTTTTAACAACAACAACCACCACCACTACAACAACAACAACACATGTTGTTTCTGAATGTTAAATCTGGTTCTTCCGGTCTGTTTGTGCCGCTCTTCCAACGATTATGCCATGACATGTAGGCCACACCGGTGTTTTGCTTTGCAGCTCCTCTTTCAACGGGGGCCCTGACCCCCCGCGGGACACCGAGGTCCTCAGCCTCATGCGGGCAGAGACAGGTGATTCGCCGAGAGTGGAGTTGGGCGGTTCAGGGGTTGAAAGCAGCGGCTGCGTGGAAAGAGGCCCCCGGGAGACCTCCCGGGCGTGCTGGAGACACCCGGGCTACTCTCGACTGACCCATGATGGTCTTTGAATGTAAGACTGTAAGAGGTGAACTGAGACGGTGGATGAACGAACATTAAAAAACATCGAGGCATTGCTTCTGGAGGCCATGCACAAACCTAGAACCTGAAGGTCATTCAGTTCAGAACACGATGTGTCCATGCGGATCCAACCAAGTAACTACATCATACTACATCTTCAGAAGTCTAGGTCTAGGTCGTTTCCGCATGGTTTCCTCATGGTTTCCCCCTCCAAACCTCTCAAGGGTTTGTGATCCTGAAATGATTCAATGGCTGTGGATGTCTGAATCCGGACACCCTGGTGCGTCAGAGTCTATGAATTGCTGGAGCCTAAGCGGACCCAACGAACTTGGGTTTCTCAAAATCCATCCTGTGCATTCTGAAGCGTCCTGGTCTTCGGAAAAGTTCTTTTCGGAACCATGGCATCCACCAAACCATGTGAGTTCCACGGAGAGTACGCTTAGAGACAGACAATATTCTAAGAGTCTCTGGTCTACCGAAAGCCTCTCTTTTCATTGCACCAGTTCCGGCAGAAGACGTTCGAAAACACTCGCGAGGCGAGATGGCAGCTCTGTGTCTTGGATGCCATACCTGAGCTTTGCATAGTGTTTTATAGCACTTTGTTTCACGAACCACGCTTTCTGGCTTAGCAAAGGTGCCATAACATGAAACTACACGACTTGAGCTGAAGCTACGCTTCTCACGTTGGGCAAAAACAGATGCGGACAAGTTGGCACGGGACACGGCAAGCTGCAGATGTTTGGCAAACAAGACACTCCATGTGTGGAATGGTTCTTCCCCCCGGGCTCCAACCACATCAGACGGCAGTTCGACCCCCAAATCCTATACGGCAAGCACCTTCTTTTCGGAGGTGGTTGAAGCGCTAGGGTCCTACATTGACTCCTTAGTTCACCACATCGAATGGATTGCTACCCGGCTACCCCGTCGAATGGATCCTACTATTATATGTTGAGACCTTTCGGAAGGTTTGCCAGTGTTAGCTTCCAAATCTTCGGCGGTACCGGTCCCGGTGTCCCTTGAAAAATGGAAAATAGGTTGTTCACATGTTCGTTTTTCCCCACCTGCCAGGTGACGGTTGTTAGATTTTATGACAGTTGTTCTTCCTCCTTCCTTCCTTCCTTCCTCCTTGCTTCCTTCCTCGCCAACCTCCTCGCCAATCGTCATCGCCAATCTTCATCGCCAATCTTCTTCGCCAATCTGCTTCGCCGATCTTGTCTGGCAAGCTCCGGATCGCAGTGTGCACCCCTGGACCTCAACCGCAAGGATCCGATCGCAGTGTGCACCCCTGGACCTCAACCGCAAGGATCCGATCGCAGTGTGCACCCCTGGACCTCAACCGCAAGGATCCGGATCCCCTCGCAGTGTGCACACCTGGACCTCAACCGCAAGGATCCGATCGCAGTGTGCATCCCTGGACCTCAACCGCAAGGATCCGATCGCAGTGTGCACCCCTGGACCTCAACCGCAAGGATCCGATCGCAGTGTGCACCGCTGGACCTCAACCAGGTAGTTTGCCAGATAAAATGCCAGATAGAATGCCAGGTAGATTGCCAGATAGAATGCTGCAAGAAGATATGCCGGATAGTATGCCAAATAGTGTGTCAGATAGATTGCTAGATACATTGCCAGATAGAATGCCAGAAAATATGCCAGATAGAATGCCAGATAGAATGCCAGATAGGATGCCAGATAGAATGCCAGATAAAATGCCAGATATAATGCCAGAAGATATGCCAGATAGAATGACAGGTAGTATGCCAGACAAAATGCCAGATAGTATGCCAGACACAACCACAAACACATCCACACACACAACCACAAACACACAACCACAAAGACACAACAATAAACACACAACCACAAACACAACCACAAACACACAACTACAAACACAACCACAAACACATCCACAAACACACAACCACAAACACACAACCACAAACACACAACCACAAACACAACCACAAACACAACCACAAACACAACCACAAACACACAACCACAACACACAAACACAAACACAACGACAAACACACAACCACAAACACACAACCACAAACACACAACCACAAACACGCAACCACAACAACACGACCACAAAGACACAACCACGAACGTACAGCCACAAGCACAACCGCAAACACATCCACAAACACACAATCACAAACACACAGCCACAAACACACAATCACAAACACAACCACAACCACAACACACAACCGCAGCACACAACCCAAGGACCCACAAGCAAAATCGAGAACTACAATACTCACGACCATGGCAACATGCTCCTCACTATGGCATCAAGTCAAATGATTGAAATGTCATGGTGGGGATCACTCGAAGTAAAGTAATTAAAATCTGAAGTCATGTAGACTCTTGATATTTCTTGATAACCCCCCCATGCAAATCTATATAAAAGAAAATTAAAAACTTCCACCTCTCGCGCTCACGAAGTCTGAATGACGTGAGACTCGATCTGCCTGTAAGACTTCCACCTGTGAGACTCTGCAACCCCAAGAAAAGACCCCCAAAAAGGGTCAAAGGCCCCAAGCGTTCAATTATAACTGAGAGTCTGCCTTATTTGTTGGCGGATACCACCTGCTGAGCTTGGCGAACCGGAAACCATGCAGGCCCCAAGCATCCCAACAGCATCCCATTTGTTGGACGTCCTGTTCGTTGGTTGAACGGAGTTGCATAGTCAGGGATTGCTCGATACACACTCTCAGGCAAGTCGGAAACAAAAAGAAGGACTGACGACTTCAGAGACGCGGCGGATGTGAGACCGGTTCCAGCAAACCATCGCCCAAACAAGGAGATTGGTTCTTTCGTAGAGTCTGCGTTCACAGTCTTGTTGGCAAGCTCTGGGAACATCTGGACCGTCATGTCAGCTGCTGCACAAAGCCGAAGAAGGAAGGATCAGGCGTCCGCCACAAATTCCGTAGCACGGAGCCGATGCGCGGGGATAACAGACCAAGCTGACATGAGGATCGTGTCTTGCGAGTGCACTGACGCCAAAACCTGGTCTCAGAGGGAGGACACCTTCGGGAAGAAGCAGGATGTGGATGACATCTCCGAGATGTTCGAGGGTGATTTGCTGAATCGCTCTGGTGACTTGTATTCTGGGTTCGAAGTCGGTGTGAATCGGCTTGGAGTCTGTGGTAGCTGGGAGCCACAAAAGGGATACTTCCAAGGCCAAGCTGGCAAAGTTGACAGTCCGGCAATGTTTAGAAGCCTGCTGCACTGGCCCACTCTCCCCCGAGGCGTGGACCCAAGCTGCCCTCTCCACCACCAACGGGGGGTTGGGCCTCCGCCACGCATCCGTGCATGCGCCTGCCGGGTATGCAGCCAGTGTTGTAGCCACTCATGGCCTTTGCCGGCTTCTTGACCCAACCTACGACAGTTACGACAGCGCTGCACCCACCGAGGCGATCCAAGCCCTCAACCATGTGCTGCCAGTAAGTGACCACGTCCCCATCCCAGTGCCGCCAACCCTTCGGCAACGGCAGTTGTCAGAGGCGCTGGACAAGGTCGTGATTGCCAAGCTGGCGGCACCTGTGCCCGGGCGGGAAGCTTTCCGTGCCCACTTTGAAGTCTTGCAATTGCCTGGAGCATGGCTACACGCTCCTCCTTCGCATGCACTCGGGTTTTGATGGCCCCCTTTTCAAAATCATGGTGCAGCTTCGGCTTCGCCTGCAAGTGGCTACGGCTGAGGTACCTTGCCCCTTGTGTGATGGCGTGGCGGATTGCTTCGGCGACCATGCCCGGGTCTAGAGCCCGTGTGGCGGTGATCGCACCAAGCGACACCACGCCCTTCGAGCCATCCTTGCAGCTCGTGCCAAAGCGGCCGGCTTTCACACCGAGGTCGAGAAGCCAACCTCGCCCGGAGGATGGTGGTGCCAGCGAAGATGGGGCCCGTGCCACCAATGGGCGGCGCCCTGCTGATGTCTGGGTCGGTAATTGTGGATTGCTGGGACCAGCGGCTTTTGACTTGGCCGTCACTTCGGGTTTGCGCTCCGGGCACCTGCCCTCCACTGTTGCAGATGGTCGGCGTGCAGTGTCCGACTATGAAGTGAAAAAATTTCCCATCAACATACCTTGGCCACCTGCGCATCAGAGGGCTTGCAGTTCTTGCCCCTGGTTGCGGAAGCTTGCAGCGGGGGATGGGGCCCCACGGCGTTGAAAACATGGAAAGAACTTTCGGTTGCTTTGGCGGCCCGAAACAATGAAGCTGCTAGCGTGGAACACGACCGTTTGCTCCAATCGCTGGCGGTGGCCCTCCAGCGGGAGAATGCCCGGGCCGCCCTTCGACGCATTGAGTGAGCCTTTTCAATCTGGCTGTTTTGCTTGCCCATCTCAAACCCACCCACAATTTTTGCCTCCGGGAGCTAATTGAATCCTGGCTCTCACCGAATGCACAGTGGTTCTTTTGTTTGAGCGGGCGTCCCAGCTGCGCACTTTTTTGCGCTGGCCCGCTCTGCTCTTGCTCCTTTTTCGCTAGCACTTTTTTTTGGGCCCTTAGGGCTGTGCCTGGACACGCTTCGTGCTTGGTGGCTACGTCCCCTTCACTTTCCCGTGTTCCTGTGGCGCCGTTTTTTTCCTCGAGCTCCAACACGTGATTGGAGCCTTGCACAGTCATAGCCAGCCGTTTGAAGGACAACTAATGAATCCGACTCAGTTCCAGGTTGTTTAACAGCTTGAACTGAGTCATTCTGAGAACATCCGTTTGCACCGGGAGAAACCCATCCTAAACACCGATCCGTTGCACTTCCTCCATCCCTAAGCTGTTCACCTGCATCTGCAGAAAGCTTCGAAAGCGCCAAGAAACCAACACTGTGCCAGCGATCGACCCGGTTAAGACTCATCCGGTTAAGACCCGGTCTATCCACATGTGTCTACCCGGTCGATCGACGAAACCCCGCCAAAACCCGCGCATCATGCACCACCGCGGTGAAGCTCGCTCAGGTTGCCTTTGAAGTGGTTCTCCATACCGCAGTGCTGGCCCGGACGGCCCAGTGGACGTGTCGTGAGTGGACCGCTATCGTCGCAACCAAAAGGCTTCGGGAAGTGAAGGTGGATGATCATCAGACCGGAGAAGTATCGTCAGTTTAATGGAGTTTGCTGGATCCTCATGGACCACAAGCTTGTTAAGCATTTACAAGTTTTTTAGCTGTAGTATGCTGAGGATCCATGAACGCACGGCACCATACCATACCACACCATTACATTACATTACATTACATTACACTAGATTACATTACACATACATTAATTACATTTATTCCCTTGCTTTGGTGATACACCCAAGGGTAACCCAACCTGACTAGTTCTGGTGTTCCTTTGTCTTTGGAGGGTGTCCCAATTTTACTCCCCATGATCAAGACATCATCCATTGATGTTTTGTTGCTTCACATGACACACGCACACGCATACATACATAGTCATACATAATTACGTCGGGTCGATCCTACTACTGCAAGAGTCGGTCAACGATCACTATTTTAGAGATGTCCGCCTGCAACCGAACCATCATCATCCACTCGGCCCTGGGGATAAGGATATACCATACCCCAAAATTGACTCCATCATATGGGTCGAAATCTAGAGTCTAGAGGTCCTGCTGGTTCCATTCGATCCAATACAGAACACTGGGAAGTCCTCTTGGTTAATTAACCCCGTGTATCGCCCGACCATCGGACGACACGTTCCGATGAACGAGGCGCTTTGAGACGTGCCAGCGCGGCCGAAAGCGGGAGCACTACCAGCGGTCCTGACACGTTTGAGTGTGCCCATATTTGTTCCCTTCTCCTTCAGGAATGTATACGGGTGCAAGAGATGTCATGTTCCATACATGTTTCCAGTCCCAAATCAGCCAACAGATGCAGGCTTTCTCCAAGCACACGTCTTTTGATCGGGGAAACAACTCCTTTCCAAGCCGGAGTGCAACACATTGCAAATCGGATATCCGCCAAGTCACCAGGCTTTAGTTTTTCGTTCCGAACACGAAAGAGCAGACTGAAGGACTCGACCTTCCACGCCGGCCATTTGTTCCACCGTCCTCGGTCTCCTTCACCGGAAGCGAAACGGCCAGGTGGAACATGGACATCGTGGGTGTCTCCACCGTGCACGCGGAGGTGTGGAGACACCATGTGCTGTTTTGGTGGTTTGTTGTGCCTTTTTTCCTGGTGGAACATAGAGGACATGGAGCATTTAGGCACCTGTGGTTCCAAAAGCATTTGCTGGAATGTAGAAAATAGCATGTGACGTGTAAAGTAGAAGACCCAGCTTCGTGGTTGCAGTTTTTGGTGTCACCTTTGGGGGTTCAATGATGAATTATGAATATTCCAACAACACAAAACAGCGAACACTGCACACTCGATGTATAGATGCCGACTTAGAGTGGACATTCCGACATATTTGGACTTCCTCTTGTGTGTTGTTTGTTTACCGTGGATAATATGCAGATGTTTTTTTTGATGCAAGGAAACATCAGCAAGCATTTTTTTGATGTGAGTATTCATAATGAATCAGTGTCCCTGCCTCACAGTACCCTTCCAGTGACCTCTATCTGCATAGAAGTAGGATAATTGTTGATAGATCAATGGAACATAAGGAGAGAACATCTATAACTATACTATATAGGTATAGGTCCCACAAAGACATGTTCGAGACTCTAGAGTCCATTCTATACATGGAATCATATCATGTTTCAGCCGATCATGTCTCATCTCATTGACCTCCGTGAAACGGCGCCAGGTGGAGCTCTTGTCCGCCATTTGCACCTTCTTCGAGTTAGTCCGGGCCTCGGTTCGGCGAGCTAGGGAGCCACGGAAGAAGCAGAATGATCCAGGAACAAAGGGCAGAAGCTACGAACGGAGCTAGAGGACACTACTAGATAGTAGCTCCTGGCCTTACTACTAGTAACAAGAAGCTACGAACGGAGCAAAGCAGTGATTTCAGAATCAATGGCACAATACCCCAATGTCAGTGGCTTTAAAAAAGACCCCCTATCTGCCTAAGACATCCCGGGGGCCCAGTGCCATCGAACCTCTGAAACCAGTGTAAGATGTTCCAACAAACTTTACACCATGGACGCCATCATGGATCTTTGAGAACTGAGAATGTTTACTAGAGCAGGCATTGACCATGAACATTCACTTTAGATCGATCAATTTGTCGGAAAGTTGAGGGATGAGGATCAGAAGATCCAGCTTTGACCCTGCTCCCTCCACCGCCTGAAAAACGTCCCGGGAACGACCACATAGGACCTTGTACGACCCCATGGCGTACCATGGCATGCCATGGCACCACTTGTTGTATCTCTCACCCTTGCTTTTGGTTCCAAGACGTCTCCATGACTCTTGTTTTGGAGATTGGGGAAGAAAGTTTATTGGACAACTCATATAGTGAATACCAGCTTCTTCTTGCTATAAAGCAAAGTATGCTGATCCTGAAGTCCTGCAGTACGTCCAGCACTTGAAGAACATTGGCTTTCGAGGTTGCCATGCACACATGGTACTCCCCTGCAGAGGACCACATGGAACCCCAAACCCACTTGGTAGAGGAAAATAGTCGAAACCATGGGTCAATTCTCAGGTTCCATGTTGGTTTGCTATAGTACTACGGAGACCGTTTTTCTTGGCGGCTTCAGTTCTCAGCGGAACGTTGTGGGTGCTACGAACTTCGGAATGCCTTCGACACTCACGCACAGGAAGTAGGTCACCACAGGTAGTTCCGCAGAGCTTGAACTATATATATATACTGTAGTTCCGTGTTCTATTGCATGTTGGTATTTTGTGGGAGAGGAATTAGGGAAACACTTCAGGGTTTGCAGATGGGTATGTCCAAAAACGCTCCCTCCAGATATGATCTCAACAACCTCCCTAGCATGGTCCTGCCATGGATCCACGAGTTCCATGCGTCCTAACATGCGAAGCCAACGGGTGCAAACTGGGAAATCCACTTTTTAGCGTTGCCAAGTCGTCCTGCAGCTGTACCCCACCCACCGCAACATGCCTTGGTCTTTATCTGAGTTGATTTTGTGTGTTTTGTATTCCCAGAAGGTGAATCCTCTTCTGGTGAAGATTTATTCAACTTTTTCGCCAGTTCCTTGAACAACACAAAATTTATCACCATCCACCCCTTGAAACGACCCGATCTTTCTCAGGTCGGCATTTCTTCCGAGGAACCTGCGGTGTTTCTTTTTGCTTTCGCCGCCCAGCGTGGCAAAGACGATGATGCGTTCGGCTGTCATTGAGGTTTCGGAAAGAACAGGTTGAAGGATGTCAAGGTTCTGACATGTTCTGACTAATGACCTCAGACACAGACATGTGAGAACATGTCAGATTAGAAAGCTGCCAAGGTTCTAACATGTTCACATTCAAGAACTGACTAATGAATCTGTTAAACTTCTTCTCAGATGAATAGAGGCTAGCACATCACCGTTTCTCCCCAGAAAGGTCTCCCCAGATCGGCTAAAGACCAGATCTTGAGATCTAAAGTCCTTGATAGTAGCAAGATGTTCCTAGTAGTAATGCCAGGAGCCGTTCGTAGCGTCCTTGTTTATAGCGATGCCCTTTGTCACTAGCTCCTACATGCTCCAGTCCAATTCCGTCAACTCGTCAACTCGGAGGATGTGGGCATCAAAGTCAACTCCCGGAAGGTTTTGGGCGCCGTGCTCAAGAACGCTGGCGTGCCGGACCGTGTAGCGAACTCACAGACCGTGACACGGATGACACGGACCGCGGACCGATGGCGTTTTTTTCGAACGGGCCGGACCGCGCGACAAGAAGAGCGTCAGAGCGACCAAACTGAAAACAGGACGAATTTTTCTTGGGAAGATTTTGGATGGGAAGAGTGTGGAAAAATGCCATGTTTCGGCACTTATATGTCAATTGTCAACTGTATATATAGTGAGTTGACTGGTCTCCAAAGTGTGGTTCTCTTCCATTCGATCCCCAGGCAGGATCCTTTTTTGAAGATCATGGCGACTGCAAGAATTAATCGGCATCCATCTAAGTCTGTTGCGTTCAAATACCATTACTGGATTTACATGACGCTAGTGGAAAAGCTCATCAATGATTTGTATATAGGTCATTGACATCGATACAACCAGAGACAAAGCAAAGCTTTGCCTGAGCTTCAACTTGTTTTGAGCCCACCATCCATCGCCGAAGTAAGCTACACAACCAAACTGCAGGACGAACCGGTCCGCAGCGCATGGACAGCGTTCCGTTATGCAGCGCCAGGATGAGCGTTTCACCGAGACCTGCGTGGTCATCGACAAGCTGGAGCGGCACGAGTTCGGCGGCTTTTTGGTGGCC